GGATTGGAGGTGTCACAAGAGGAATGAAGGAAGAGATGTTAAAACGACATTGTAAATCTGTTAAATTACACTCCGGTGAGTGTGTAAGAGGCTTCAGGTGCATCCTAGTTGCTTGCAAAACACAGAAGCATCTAAGGGCATTTAAGGTATAAAGTGTACAAAATGGTATGTTTGATTTGCCTGGCTGTGGCTCCAACTGAATGTCTAATATATATTTCGGAGAGTCAGGGGTAAAGTAGGACGACATGGAAAGCGGTGCTGCAGGCCCATCACTGGAGTTTGGTAATAAGGTTAATGTGAAAACAACTCGGAGCCACATTTCCCTGCTAATGCGCCAGGGGGAAATAGCCCAGCCTTATGTTCCACACTCCAAAGCCATTGAGTCAATTGCCAGAGAACATGACATGACCTTTCAGATTCATTGAACATCAGTGGCATGTTTTCCATTTCACCCCCCAGGGCCCAGCAGCCACAGCGAAAGGCGCAAAGTCACTAGAGGAACTGCTCTCTGCAACGCCAACACAATAAGCTGAACATCTAATCTTACCCATATCTACTTCAAAGATTCATCTGATACACAAGTGAAATGAGGAAATGTAACATAGAACTGATCCATTGTAGCTATACTGAGTGTATGTACACGGGAGAAAGGTATTGTACCCTGCTAAATGTACAATACTACCCTACCTTCTGAATATAACGTATTAATGACACAACTTAAATAAAAATTTGCTATAGTAGCAATGTAATGGAAATGGCCATTGTGTCAGCCCCCTGCCCCATGTCCTTCCATTCATTACCAAATGTTTTACATTTTAATTTTATTCTTTATTAGGAGTTTGAAATGTAGTTATAGACATTATCTATTAAACATACTGTAGACACATTGAAACATTGCCAAATGTTAAATAAGAGAATATTTTTCATATTGATTGTTTTGCACACAACTAGAGAATAATGCATTTTTAGTATCTGAATTCAGTTAAATCCATGTGAGCTTTCTAACGTTACTGCCCTTCTTTTTATGTGGCTGCCAGCTACTTGTGAACCAGACTTCACCACTCCAACCTCATTATGAGTTTATTGTTGTAAAGTGGCATTGACTGATGTTTGTGGCACAGAGATACCTTCATTGTAAATTCTTGATTACATCCATCCATCCATCCATACACTTTCTATACCCGCTGGTCCTGTGCTGGGGGATCTAAAGCCTATCAAAGAAGCAATGCCAGGAATAACCCCAGGCGCCCCACCCAGCCCGTCGCAGAACTCTTAAGTCCCAAATGCTAAAAAGTGGAAAGGATACAAATTGGTCAGGGTTTTTTAGATATTGTCTCATAGTTGTACAGTTAGGTGTGTTCAGAGCAGCGTGGCTGGCATGCAGTCAGTGCCTTCCTTTGTACTCATGGCTGCATCTAAATGCACATACATACACCATCTACTTATTTCTGCACAATATCCTGTTTGTGTTCTATTCTGTTTGTGCACTATGTACTGCTTGCACTGTGTATACTGTCTTTGTCCTGCACTAAATGTTTGTATTTGTGTGCTTTTTGTACCTCACTGCTACATGCCAAAGAATTCCCCCGTAGAATCTTATTGTATACACAGGAGCAAGTTCAAGATGTATAGACCTGAGCACTTGTCGTTCAGAGCCTCGATTTGGCCTCAACTTTGATTTTAAAATCAGTGATGGATGAATTATCAAGCCTTGCAACTTTTTCCAGAAATAGACTGACGATGCATTTTCACCTCAATACGTGCAGTCAAACCACAGTCTCTTTGAAACTGCACAAGCAAAAAAACACAGTTATTCAACTTTTCAGCCCTGTACTAATATAAGTAAAAGCAGAGCTGGACTGATTTGAAGCCAGAAGTCTTAGCAAGGTTGCTGTTGTGCTCATTGCTAATGTTGCTGTTGTGCTGATAAGAACATAAGAAATTTACAAACGAGAGGAGGCCATTCAGCCCATCAAGCTCGTTTGGGGAGAACTTAACTAATAGCTCAGAGTTGTTAAAATCTTATCTAGCTCTGATTTAAAGGAACCCAGGCTTTTAGCTACCGCTACACTAGCAGGAAGACTATTCCATATTCTACAGTAACTACACGCTGTGTAAAGAAGCGCTTCCTCAAATTTGTTTTAAAATGTTCTCCCGCTAAATATTAGCTCATTGCTAATATTGCTATTTTGCTCATTGCTGTTGTGCTCATTGCTAATCCACTCTGCTTCTTTTTCAAAGTAGAGCACAGAGACCAAGTATGCCTAGAAGCAGCAGAAAGAGGTGTGCCAATATTCTAAAACAGCATCCTACACGAAAGACTAGTATGCTGCATATTTATCTTCACAGCTTGTTGAGCAGACAGAAATTGTATTTTGCATAGATAATTCCTCTCCTTGTTTGTAGTTCAGAGCATCTCTTTCTTATAAAATGTATTGAATCCATGTGGTCTAACTGGAACAGCAATTGTGACTGATGACACTGTGCAGAAATTGTTTTCATTATTCAGAATTCTTTTGAATATCACAAAAATGTCTGAAAGAAATACTTCTTGAATATGGTATAACACCTGTAGATCTCCCATTTTCTTTAAGAAAGGTCTCCTACTCATTGTAAATTATCTTTTGTCTTATATTTTTAAGAAATTCAGAAATTCTGAGAAGCTCAGAGAGAATCACACAATGGGTCAGAAATTAGGAGCTATTAAATTCTAAAAAAGCAATCTATTATTCTGGGTTTTAAAATCTACATATTTGAGTATTTTTCCTATAGACTAGGTCATGCCAATTTGCCACCTGGAGTGATGGAGGGACGTGTTTTAATTGGAAGGTCATTTTATTGTACCTCCTCTGGGCAGCTGTAACAAACTTTATGCAAAGGAAATCCCCTACCTCATTAGGCTAGATTAATTGACCAGTTCACTGGCTGAGTGATCCTGTGCTTGAACAGGTTTGTAAAGGACCAGGGATTATTCTTTCTAGGCATTTACTCAGCATGATAGGGTCATTTGTTTCTTACTATAATCATCAGCCATTTAAAATAAATTGTTTTATTTGCCTTTATTCCACGTTTTCGTGAAGTACTTACATAATGTGTCTATTTCAAGATAAAAGTGTAGTGTAAGAGGAACTTTCATACATACTATACTGCAAGTAAATAAAAACTCTGAACACATGCTAGCATTCTAATTCACATGGAATTTAGACTTGGCAGAAACAAGCCTCCCGTTGCCCATGTCAAACAGTCACTCATGCTGACAAAGCCTGGGTGATGATGGGAGGCTGTTATTACTGTCCAGAAAGTCAAAAATGTGAAGTGAAAGTGAACAGAGGGTCACAAGGCCTGCTTGAACAATGGCAGATTATACATCAGACCGTTTGGAAAAACCACCTGCCCGTAACACATTAAACAACCAGCTGGCTATATTAGACCCCATGTGGTGATTGCAGACATTTCTCAACAAAAGGCCAGGGCAATTTTCTCTGGTGAATTGCTAGTTTGATATGACATTTCTGGCTCCAATTAACCTTAAATGTGAACAATCTTTTTCACATTTCAAATATTTATTCTGCATGTTTCCCATTTTTCCACTCCATTGTCACACAAAGGATTTGCCTTTTCCTAACTTACTTGTGGAATTGCAAGTGGCTCATTGCTCAGTTGGTTAAGCACAATCTTCAAATGACAATTGTTGTTATTAGAACACTATGTTTAATCCTCAACCTCTACATTGTATATATTTACAGCATTTAGCCATTTTTCATTGGATTCACAAAAAAATTAACTGTTGAACCCCACTTGCATTGAGTGAGCCTTGGTCATACGAGGAACAGCGGAAAGTTCTTTTAATGTAGTCCTGAAAAGGACCACACTCAAGAAACAATACAGCGACTCTGAATGGCAGAGAAGGACGGGGAGGTTCCACTAAGGACAGTGAGGCACACACACAGTGGGTGACACACTGACTAAGACACGTCAGAATCTGGCAAGGACCAAGAACAAACACACGTAAGGGTACACGCGACAGCCGGGTACACAGCACAACAAGTACAGTATCTACACAACAACTACACACTGGGGCTATTGACAAGTACTCTCAAGTATGCTGGGATATTCAAATCCCACTGGTGTTACACATATGAACATGCAGAGGTGGCATGATGGGCCAATGATTAGCAAACAGACCAGCAGACAGTTTTTATGTTCTCTCCATGTCATCGTGGGGTTTCCTCCAGGTACTCTGGCTTCCCCCAGCACAGTCCAAAAACATGCTGAGGTTAATTGGAGCTGTCAAATTGTCTGTGTGTGAATGGAGTGTGTGCCATGCGATGAGTTGGTGCAACATCCTGGGTTATTCCCTGCTATTTGCTTATAGCTTCTGGCATTGGCTCTTGACCACAAGGACTCTGCTTATGACATCATGCATACTGCTCCATCTGGGACTGGGCCTGAAGCAACGAGGAACGTGCATGGTTCCAGGTACAATGACAGCGTTGCATGAACTGTTGCACCAATGGAGTGTAAGGCCAGACATCGTAACTTTTTCTCCAGATACTGGTTAGAACACTCCATCTGGCTATTAGACTGGGGATGAAATCTGGAAGATGTGCTAGAGGGGCCCTTGTCCTATGCACCCCTGGGTCACAGGCTAGGAGAGAGGAGTTCCTCCATTGAATCATTCAAGAGCAGAAGAATTTCGGGACAGAGACGGTTTGGAGGAATCCCAGCCGGAGGGTGCAGAAACTGCTGTACCACCTGGACCGCCTCCTCGATACCCCAGGAAACGGCTCTCACAAAGGGTTCACCACTATAGAAAGCATCAAAGAGTGCAGTGGGACTCCATCCACAGGACACTGCCAGAATCCTGAACTGTATGGCAAAATCAGAGACAGATCGATTTCCCTGACATAGTTGCAATAACTCTCACGCCGCCTCTCTTCTTGACTTAGTGCGGTCAAACACATCTTTCATGTCTTCTGAAAAATGCGTGAATTGGAAAAATGTGCGACTGCAGTCCCAAGCTGCTGTTCCCCATTCCCTGGTGAGTAATGTTATCATGTAACCGAATTTAGAGCGCTTGGTGAGAAACGCGGAAGGTTGCAGCTAGAACACCGTCGAACACTGGGACAAGAAGACAACTACCTGGATCCCCGCTGTACTGGCCTGGTCGGTTTAAATGCAGCTTGCTTGCGTCGCAGTGTTACGTCCCGGTCTAGGGACGGGGCGTAAACAGTGGTAAGGTTCGGGAAACCGGGAATAGGGAGTTGGGAGGTAGAGTATAAGGAGGTCGGGGATAAATTAACACCCAAGGCGTTGATGGTAAAAGAAAATATGTGTATTTGGGGAAATGTGAACTTCAGGAGTGACACCGGCCAAAACAATAAATAAAACCCGTGTACCGACAAAACTTCCCTAACCTGAAAGAAAAATGAAACAAAAGACAAACGCTATCCTAACCCTCTTTAACCACAAAACAGGGACAAAACGTCGTACACGCAGAAAACAAATGGCAGTCACTCCCTACAACCCTTACACCCATACACACACAGATATATATATATATATATATATATATATATATATATATATATATATATATATATACAGTATTTACACCAGGCAACCAAGTCCAATCCGTAATCCTAAGAATAGTCGATAACCAGACAGTAGTCAAAACATGGGTAAACAAATACATAAGCCAAATAACCAAAACCAAATCGAAAACCAAAAGCATGAAAGTCGAAAGCCAAAGACAGGTCGTAACAGTACGTCAGAAAATGCAATAAGCAAAGGCAAAGCAAAGACAAAGCACGAGCAAAAGCTGTCACAGGGGGTGTTCAGGCGTCTTTTATAATCCGGGGCTGGAGAGGCGGGAAACAGGAACGAGGTGATGACAACCAGTCCATTCAGTTTTGGCACGGTTTTCGTGGTGAGAGATGGAAAATGTGGAACCAGAATCGCCAGTTTGGCGGAATGGGATCTAAAGGAGAAAAAGAATGGATACATATACCCACACACACGCATACGGACGTAACAGCAGAGACGATGGTAACATGGAGCGGTTGGAAAGCAGTTGCTACATCTATGAAGTGAGCTCTGACAGTCCAGAATGAAATTATTCCAGCAACATCTGAATCACCATCAGTTCACTTTGGTGCTGTCCAAGAAGGGCTCCCTGCTTCCACAGGGCTTCTGATAGGTGCTGAAGACTATTCTGGTCCACTGGGTCCATCGAGATCTTCCGTGAGGGATACACAGGCTGGATTACGATAGGGCATTTTTGTAACTACATAACTACAAGAAATTATATTCATGCAGGAGTCTTCTTCAGGTACATTTTCTGCTCCACTAAATTACTTGGTGAATTTCACACCTTACTTTGGATTTCAATGGTGGAGGTTGTCCTGAGTTTCATGAATCATATTTGTAACTGCTTGAAAATGGCTTCCTCCACAGATTCTGTCCTCGTCTTCTTCCTAGTATCTTGGGTTGGACATGAACACCTGGAATCCTCTGTTGAAATTAGCAATGTAAATGTGTGTAACTTGAGGTATGTCCCAAATTCACTGAAGGTTGCTGTTGTCAGACCTGTCCTTAAGAAACCAAACCTGGTTCCCACTAATTAGCTAATTAAGGACCTATTATAATCTTCCATGTATTATAACCTTCCATTTATTTTCAGAATCTTAGGAAATAGTTGCAATCTCTGTTCTTTTAAAAGAACAACATTAATGACATGTTCCAGTCAGGGTTTAGGCCAAATCACAGCACTGAAACTGCACTAGTGGGAGTCCATTATTGACTTGCTTATGGTGCTGATGATGGTTCTGTATCCCTATTGGTTCTACTGGACCTAAGCATAGCGTTTGATACTGTTGACTAAGATACTTTATTGGCAAGGCTAGAGTCTTTGATTGGTGTTAAAGGGCAGTCACTGCCAGGTTCCGTTCAGAGGTCCTCCAACTTACAAGAACCATCAGCAGTGTGTCCAAGAGAACAACGAATCCTCTGAATCCATCAGACTGAGGTATGGTGTCCTGCAAGGTTCTGTTCTGGGCCCAATACTGTTTACCATATAATAATAATTTATCCTTTATTGTCCCTCATGGGGAAATTCTTTTTATGCGAAGGGCAGCCACCTGCTGGAAAGCTGGGGGTTAAGGGCCTTGCTCAAGGAGCCGCAGACATGCTGAGACTGGGTTTGAACCGGCGACCTTGTGATTACAAGCACACAGGCCTAGCCCACTGAGCCAAACGCTGCTATACATATATACATGCTGCCCCTTAGTGATATTATTTCGGAAACATACTGGGAGTTTTCATCGTTATGCAGACGACACACAGCTGTACATACGACGAGCTGCCTCAGCTGTCAAAGATTGAGAAATAGTTGTCTGAAGTTAGGAGCTGGATGCCCAGTATCTTCCTTCCATTAAATCCAGTGCAGTGGAGTGGTGGTTCTGAGGCTAGGGATCTGTGCCAGTAACTGGAAGGTTGCTGGTTCAAATCCCATGAATGCCCAGAGTAATTCTACTCCATTAGGCCCTTGAGCAAGGCAAACCTGCAATTGCTTTGTCCTGGGTATGATGTTAATCTACATCCAGACCTATAAAGAGGTCCTCCAACTTACAAGAACTAACTTGGGGGTTGGTGGTAGGATTGGACTAGTGTGGGGCTGAGGTATCACTTACCACATGGTTGCACTCAGGTTCTCATCCCTGAGGTGGTTTGTCATGTGGTGGGTGTGGCAACACACTGTATCAGTGCATACTCCTTACCTCCTCATCAGAATAACCAAGCTTTAAATCCACTGCATTTTCATCCTATTTATGGCATACTCCACACATCCAATTCTAATATAGAACCAGTGCTGTACCACCCATTGCCTGTTTCATCATTCATATTTTTTAGGTGTGGTCAGGATGTTTGATGTAGCTTTGCACAAGTACTCTAAACGTCAGAATTTGCATCCAGGCTAATGAAGCTGTGTGGGCAAGGCTGTGAATCTATTTCATTTAAAAAGTTACCCTTGTGAGAGAAAATTGAAGAGGGTATATTTTTCTTAACTAGCTTTTAGATAAACTGCTTTTGAATGTATTTTTATATTGTTGCAAAAACGCCTGGGTGACAGACAGCAGACACGAGATAAAGAGGCTAAAAGAGAAGTGAGGCTTGAGCTAAGTGTTACACTCGGGTTTTGGAACATAGCACTTGTTAGAATTGACAAGAAATGCAGACTGGGGGACAAAGGCGTGAGCATCGAGCGCATGTAGCAGACATGGCAGGAACACCACACAGACAGAGGCCATGCAAAAGCCTAGACGCCTCCTCATGTGCCCCATGCCTGCAGCATGCTGATCACGTGACGTTTACATGCTTGCAAGATGCAAACTGCATAAGGCATATGTGTGTTACGACCTTGGCTCAAAAGGGCCACACATAAACCTGGAAACATGACATCCAGACCCAAAAGATGACCTCAACACACAGCTTAAAGTGTCTCATTATTTATTTGACCCATAGACATCAGAAAAAGGATGTGGCCAAAACAACAGAGAAAGAAAAGAGCACAAACCTACTACTACCTCCCTAACTTAACCACAACACAGGCACAACCCCCCCCCCCCCTGAAAACAAAGGCCACCTTTTCCTACAGAGATCACACCGTAGTTTGTTCTGGTTCAGAGAAGGCGGTGCAAACTGTGAATGTACCCTTATAAAGTTACGTGTATGTTGACCAGGAAGTCTTTGGAACTTTACCACAGAGAACAACCATCAAAGTGGTTGTTCCCTTGAGCTCAGTAATAAATGACGTCATATTTCAAAGCACCGACTAAAGTGTCATGAATTTCTACGACACCCTTTTAGAGTAACATTCATTTAGATGCATTTTTATAAACTTCAATATTTTGAACAATCATGTGGTTTTGTTCCTTTATTCGACGACAGAGTCTATTGATTTTTGTAGGAATAACTATACTTGGGTGAGTAAACTACATTTTAATGTCATGTTGAGTTTAGATGGTTGTGAAAATTACTTATTTAATATAACCCATGCAACAGTCAATAAACAGATGCTTTTATTATATAATGCATATATACACCTGCATAAAATGCGATGAATGTATTAGAAACTTTATTTCCTTTATATATATATATATATATATATATATATATATATATATATATATATATATATCAGTGGTAATCAAAATTAGAGAATAAAACACGTTTTTGTCATATACAGTCACAGCTTATCCGAATTCAGTTATTCTAACGAATAAAAGAGATGTATTTTGTATTTCTTCAGGTAAAGCTATGCCACATCACAAAATAAATTGTTTAAATGAGAAATTTGAAGAAGGAATGTGATCAAAAATAGAGAAGTTAAAAAAAATTTGTAGAAGAAGCCTGCAAAATGAATTCTGTAAACATTTTGTGATGGATGCAACTTTCAGAAATGAATAGGAAGCGTAGAAGCCCTATATAATGGCAGCGGATATATTTCAAATGAAACCTGCCATAAATGTGTGTATGTGTGTGTGTATACACACATGCACACATATGTATATATTTGCAATGCAAATGCCCGATATATTGTGCAGATGCCTGATATATTGCATCACCAATAATAATGCAGGTAATATTGACAGTTAAACACAAGAAGACATTTTAGTGCCGCCTGCCTCTCACTCACAACGTATGATGATGATGAAGTATTTTCTATTTGGCACGCACACACACACACACACACATATATATATATATATATATATACACACACACACACACACAGATGCTCCTCACTTTATGATGGTTCAACTTTAACAATATTTCGAATGATGGTGATAAGTTGCAACAGAAGCACTACTTCTCATTTGTGGCTCATTAAATCGGTCGCACACACTATACCGTCCAACTTACTGTATCTGTGGACGTGTTGCTACGGAGTTTTATACGACGTAAAGCACTGCGCGTAATGTGTTATCAACTGATATTGCTAACAATGGCAATTAACCAGGCTAGAATTGGATTTCATAATTAGTCGGACTATTTGTCGGATTTCCGGTAGTTTGGGCTAATTGTAAGTGAACGAAGATAAAGACCATTTAAACTGAGGTACCTTAAATCTGGCTGACCAGAAAATCTTGCTTTTTGATATGGGTCCATGGTATTGCACTTCTGTGGCAGATGGAATGCATCCGACTCATGTTCAAGATGTTCAATAAACTCGTTAAGTGCATATATATTTCCTTTTTACTTGAGTCTGTTTGCTCATGCAAAATGAAATGTGATTAATGTAGATTAAATATGAATGATATTTAATCGTGATTAATCGAAATTAATCCACAGCAACCCTGTGATTAATCTGATTAAAAATTCTAATTGTTTGACAGCACTTATATATATATATATATATATATATATATATATATATATATATATATATTTTGTTGTTGTTGTTAACTTCATGTAATAATGCTTATTTCATACCCTAAAGGGTTGCCCTCCTTGTTTTCTTATTTAACGATAAGAGGTAAGAACAAAAGCTCTGCTATATAGCAAGATGTTTTCCTTAATGCAGATCCATGAAAGTCTTAAATTGTCTTTTTTTAAACAATACAACCCTCTTAGTTAAGATTAATTTATTTTATTCCTCAGCTGGTCCATTTCCCTGTCCCATGTCAATTCTGATGGAAACATACCGCTCTGTCCAGTGTAAGTGTTTAAACATTTAATTCCATTGCACATTGAGTTAATCATGCATTAACACTGTCACTAAACACACCGCTCAGAAATCCTCCGAATATAAACACAAAGGCACAGAAATAGATTTTTGTCCGTTATAAAAGGTTTGTGTTTCTGTCCTCGTTATCATCATCATCATGATCATACAGTATACACCTCTGTCTTTCAGGCAGAGGAAGGTCCTCTTCAGGGATAGGAACTGTGACCTTGACTCTCCAAAGGGGTGAGATTACCGCTTTACACCATGCAGCAATTATTTATACCTTTTTTCATGGCTAATGCGGAAAAACTACTTCCAAAATGCATTCTCTACATAATCTAGTGATACCCTGGAATTGCTGGAAATGTAAAAACCTCTTCTATTCCTTATACAGTAGATAGCAGATCGGACAAATGTTTCCATTAATTTTTGCTTAGTGTTCATTTTTACTTGAGTGTTATTCAGTGTATTATTTAGCATTGAAATGTGATTGCTTTTCAGTCTAACACTGATGATGTCACGTCCAGCTCCGTCCAATCCTGGTGTGTGCCATGCCCACCTCGTTACCTCCTGTTTCTGCCTGATTGTTCTCACCTGTTGCTCGTTACCCTTAGCTTGTCTTGTGTATTTAGTCCACGTCTTGGTTAGTTTCCCCGAGTTCTAGCATTGATGTTGTTTTGCGTAGTGCCTGATCCTGTCCTGTTCTGCCCGTCTGTGACTATTAAATCCCCATTTATTGGACTTCACGACTGCGCTTGCCTGCTTCCCCATTTGCATGCACGCCGTACGTGACAGATGAGTTGTTAACCAATATTTAAAAACAAAATTAACAAGCACTAAAACAAACATATATGAAATTTAAAAAAGTAATTACATCATTCTGTATTTTCAGGTTACTTTACAAACAACCAGGTATAACATTGGGGTAAGAAAAACCGTGGATCAGAAAAAATGTGAAATCCTGACTTACAAGGAAGAGTCTTTCTTTCCATATTAAAAGACATTTGGTGAATGTCTGCATTACAGTGCCAAGCTGCCAAATTATTGCACAGTAAAATAAAAATAATAATTAGGAAATTCCAGGTTTGAAAGTCTGATTCACTCAAGTAAAGGTCAATGGAAAGACAAAATTGAACAAAGGTCAGTGTATTAAAACAAAACTGCTTTTTAAACATAGTTTTATAGTTTTTCTTAATCGGAGCTTGAATAAGATGCACACCAAATGCTGCAGTTAATACCTACAGTAATATCTTTTTAGCCCTTATGTTTCATTTGGAGAAGGGAAACTCATTTTGTGCTTTTATGACTGTCAGAGTTGACACAAACCAAATTAATAGATTATTAGATTATAAAACAGTTGAATTGTGGAAGAAGTCAGTAGCAGAACCACTTGAATATACCCTGTTCTTTGTGTTTCCAGTTGACAAGAGGAGCATGTTGACTTTCCACACACCTTCTGTTTTCTAGGCGCTGCGATGTGGTGGCTGTAACCCCCTGGTCGGCACCAATTGTCTGGGAAGAAACTTTTGACCCTGTTTTAGTTGACGCCATATACAAGCCAAAGAATCTGACCATTGCTACAACTGTGTTTGCCATTGGAAAGTGAGCAGAAAATTTGCAAGCATATAAACCTATTAATACAGAAATGAACTCTCAGACCACTAATCTAGATGTGTCTGTATCTGTCTCTGGAAGGTATATCAGGTTTCTGCGTGATTTCTTGGAAACAGCAGAGAAGCACTTTATGGTTGATTTCAAAGTGCACTATCACATTTTCACTGACCAGCCTCAAGAAGTGCCATCAGTGAATCTGGCTGCTGGAAGAAAAATCTTTGTCCATCAGGTGCCGAAGTTAAACCGCTGGCAGGACATTTCTGCTTCGAGGATGCAGATGATCCAGACCATCATTGAGGAGCAGCTTCACCGAGAGGCAGATTACATCTACTGCCAGGATGTCGATGCAAAATTCCACTTTCGCTGGGGTGCAGAGACACTGGATCGGCTAGTTGGCCAAATACACCCTTGGTTCTATGATTTGAGTCGCGACCAGTTTACTTATGAACGGCGTCCTGAGTCTACGGCCTATATTCCTCCTGGGGAGGGAGACTTCTATTACATTGGAGCCATGTTTGGGGGCAGAGTTGAGGAAGTCTATAAACTGGTTAAAAGGTGTCATGAGAATCTAGAAGCAGACAAAGCAAATGGAATAGAGGCAGCCTGGCAGGAAGAGAGCCACCTAAACTGGTACCTGCTTTACAATAAACCATCTAAGATTTTGTCCCCAGAGTACCTGTGGGATGACAAAAGGGATAAAACAAATGTTATGAAAGTTGTTCGCCTTTCACATATCCTGAAGAACTATGCAGAAGTAAGAGAAAATGCATAGGCTTTATACAAGCAAAGGCACAGCATGAGACTCAAAGGAGCACAGTATGCTTTCATTGTCAACACTCTCTGTGTTGTTGTGTCTTGTGAGAGAAAATTGACGAGAGGGTATATTTTTCTTAATTAGCTTTTAGATAAACTGCTTTTGGAATGTATTTTTATATTGTTGCAAGAACGCCTGGGTGAGAGACAGCTGACACGAGATAAAGAGGCTAAAAGAGAAGTGAGGTTTGAGCTAAGTGTTACACTCAGGTTTTGGAACATAGCACTTGTTATAGAACATAGCACCTGCTCGTACGATCCTTCCATGGCCACGCCCCCTCATTAGCTCATGTCAATTCCTGATTTCGTGTTATTTCTGAGTAGTCCTGTGTATTTAGTCCGCGTTCAAGTTTGTTTCCCCAGTCCGGTTGTGGCAGAATGGCTATTTTGGGTAGCTGTGCCTTTAAATCTGCGGGGTGATTATTGTAGTTAGAGGTAGCACCCTGTAACGGACCGCGAGTGTCCCTGTATGTGTTTTCCTTTCTTGTTATTTTGCTTTGGTAAAATTATATATATATATGTTTAATTCATTTTCTAATTCACGTATGAATATTTTATTCTGTATGTGCTTAGTATGGTTGTATGTGAATTTATGTGAGCGTACCTGTGCTTTTGAATTTTGTCCTGCGGGTGATCCCGTAGTTTGCATAAAAGGAGGTCCCTTTAAACTAAGGTAGTTTAAAGACGTAAATGAGGGAAGCTGCTTGTTTGTATTGGAGGCTTAATTTGTACTTTGTTTGTATAAAGAAAAGGACTGTTATATCAATATATTTGCATTCCTTGGGGAGCGCAGCAAGGTACGTTTTTTATATTTATGATTGTAATTTGTATTTATGTATTAGATGTATGGCTATGTTTGTGTTTATTGAAGTTTGTATTTGCGTGAATTAGATCGTTAAATGTTGTGTATACGTCTCAAAACAGTTTTCACGGTGCTAAAATGCCTGACGAGACGGATAGAGTTGTCGCTGTCTGAGACTTCAAATAAAGGGAAAAACTTAAGCACCTGTCGAGACTCTCTGGGACCCAAGGGGCTGCAACATACCCTATAAAAGTGGCAGTGGTTGGCTGGGGACCTAACGCTGGCAAGGTGTTCTTCTGGTTACCTGACTTCGCTGTGGTTAAAGGTACTGTATGCAGTGGGCTGTTCTGCGGCTTTCCTTGCTGTTGTAGGTCACACCCGTGGCTGGTTGAATTTATTGTTTATTGTTATATGCTCTATTACAGCTGCGGTCTGGATTGCCTGCCCTACAGTTGCTGCTGCTTTGCCTCTTTTTCTGTATTGTGAATGTGGGGATTGGTGGATTGTAATTCCCTGTTAACTGGTTCTTCCAGGTTTAATTGCCTAGGGTGAGGGTTTTTATTAAATGTGTTTAAGACTGTTTTGGGTTGGTACGCCACTAGGGAGGAAGGGAACTTTGATGTGGTGGCGTTTTGTGTTGTGCGCAGCAGCAGGGCAGTAGTACGTGTGCATGGGAATTGTAATGCTTTTGTTCCAGGATGCCATCTTCTGACTGCTTTACCTCCCTATCCTGTGTGTACCAGCCCTGAGGTTTTATTTTGTAGTGTGGATGGTGTTTTATTATTGTGATTGTTAATAAAAGATTGTAAGTGGAGTCACGTCTCTTGCTGCCATGTATAACGGACCTGAGTGCCGTTTTGGAGTTTTATTTAGCTTAGGAACTATTTCCCAGGGTGGCGTAGTTGGTGTCTTAAGGGGTGTTTCCCCCAAACTCTTAGCCCAGTGCCGTGACACTGTCATTAACGTGTTTTGGATTTCCGTGTGCTCGGTCCTGCTTCTCCGCTCGCTGCTCGTTCGCCCTGTGCACGGTCATCACAGATGCTGCATTCGCCTGATGTCAGTAGAAGGTATCGTACGGCATATCGCTAGCCGGGAAGCAGAGCAAAATTCATAGCTGACTGCTGAATGCGCATCGATCCTATCATAATATCCTTAAATTCGTCATGCTGGAAGATGCAGGCAGTGTTTTGCCACGCCCAGGCTGTTCCAGCTCCGCCTCCCCTGAATACTAGACCCAGCTGCAGCCAGTCAGGTTAATCTAGGGGTGGGCAACATTCTTCCCCAAAAGGCTATACTTACTTGGATAACGTAAGCTGAGGGGCAACCATTAGATGACTAAAATTGAACACAGTGCTTTTATGTTTATGACATGAATTTAATATATATGACAGATTACTTTATAATAGCCTGTTGGCCAGCTTACTGGAAGGCATGACATTTTTTAGGACGTTATGTCGATCTGGTGTATTTTGAGGTTATAATAAATAGACTTACTGTGATAAACCACATGAAATGCAGTGTAGGCTTTTACATTAACCTGCATCTTGTCACTTGTCTGATAATGGGGGGGTAGACACATGCTCTGACTGTGTTTCCTACAACCACCCCTAAAACAGGGGATGCAATGTTCCCCCCCAAAAAGGCATCAAAACAAACCATTTACGAAACACCACAAGGTGAAAAAAGTTGTCACACAGTTGTTACAAGCCACCCCTTCTTACTCGCCATAATAAATTGTTTAGATGAGAATGGACCTGATGCAATGGGTAATGCACACGAGCTTCACACTAAGTTTTGTAGTAGTACCATACTCTAATGAGGAACACAACAATACTGTACATGTAAAAACTGAAATTGTTACTCTACAGAATTGCTAGACTTCCAGAATCTGGGGGCAGAGGAAGAATGTTCACTGAAGAACAAGAGACCCATATAGTCAATATGGTGATCACAAATAATTCCATTAGGCTACGAGAAATACAGCAGTGCATAAAACAGGATGACACCACCTTCCAAAACAATGTGAGCATCTCTGTATTATCTCGTGTACTGGTACGCAACAGAATCAGGATGAAACAAATTTACAAAGTCCCTTTTGAAAGAAACAGTGAACGCATAAAACAACTGCGATATGAATATGTGCAGGTAAGCTATAGTATCACTGGTATTGAATCTGGAAGTGCATACTGTAGTGCTGTGCATGCGCCTGCTGTGCTGCATTTGTTTTGTCTTTTCCAGAGAGTGATGGAGCTAGAGACAGATGCCATGGGTCATGAGCTGATTTTTGTGGATGAGGCAGGTTTTAACCTCACTAAAACGAGATGTGGCAGGAACATTATTGGACACCGTGCCATAACCAATGTCCCAGGACAACGTGGTGGTAACATAACTATGTGTGCAGCTATAAGTCAAAATGGTGTTGTTCACCATCATGCAACCCTGGGCCCATGTAACACTGCACACATTATTACATTCCTGGACAGCCTACATTATATGCTCACTAATGTTCAGAGACCAGAGCAGACCAGGTACGTCATCATATGGGACAATGTCAGTTTCCATAGGGCTGCTTTGGTCCTCAACTGGTTTACAGATCACCCACTCTTCACTGTACTCAACCTCCCACCTTTCCATTCTTGAATCCGATCGAATAGTTCTTCTCTGCCTGGCGCTGGAAGGTCTATGACCGTCATCCCCATCAAAGCATGGCTCTTTTACAGGCAATGGTGGAGGCATGCGAGGATATTGACCAGGCATCATGTCAGGCCTGGATAAGGCACTCCAGGAGATATTTTCCCCGGTGCCTTGGACTAGAAAACATTGCATGCGATGTTGATGAAATTCTGTGGCCGGACCCAGAGAGACGACAAGAATTTTTTTTCTCTCTCTCTCAGTGAAATTGTATGTTGTTTGTGTTTGTTTTGATGTGTGTGAATAAACATTCATACTTGAAATTTGAATCCCTGTGTGTTTACAGAACTATTTATGACAAAAGTATGACCTCAAATTGACATACCTTGTGCACAGAGAAAGCAAAAGCCAGATGTTTTCCATTCATACCATCAGTGTGTAGTTGGCGCATTGTGTGCTTATTAATATGATGGTTTGTGTTAACTGATTGGTACAAAAACGCCATTTTTACAAAGGTTTGAAGAGTTAAGCAAGATTTATTAGCTTTTGCAAGAGACCTACAATGTTTTGCTGATTTGGTGTAAGGCTTTTTTATTTGTGTGTAAAGTTTTGCAAAAATAGGCAATAGTTACAAAAATGTGCTTAAGCCATCAGAAAAAACTATAATATAATCAGCAAAAAGTGTGTCTGTCTGGTCAGGGAAATGCCAGACCTGGTAAATCATTACGATTTTGTAACCCTTTTCAACAGCCTTGTTGATTTCGACACTGCACCACGTGCCGATCAGAGCTCTCTGCTCATCTGAATGATCACAGACCCACAGCATGTTCTGCAAAGTGTGAACATGAGTTTACCACCACACCTGTAAGGCAGAACCGGTAGATAATGGCCCCTCGGTGGGTAAACCTTGGCTTTGATCAACCCAAAATAGTTTTCAATGCTGTCAAAATCACTATAAATGATTACAGGGTGGCCTGCCGGGTACTATGAGTCAAACCATTTATACTAACTTTGCTCAAATAAAATATACCTTCTCATTTGGGTTTTATTGGAGAAAAATACAGACATGGATCTTTAAATTTAAAATAGCTATATACTTCTTTCCCTGGGTTCGAGTCTCCGCCTGGGTCACGTGTGTGTGGAGTTTGCATGTTCTCCCCGTGTCGTCGTGGGGTTTTCTCCGGGTACTCCGGTTTCCCCCCACAGTCCAAAGACATGCTGAGCCTAATTGGGGTTACTAAATTGCCCTTAGGTGTGCATGTGTGAGTGAATGGTGTGTGAGTGTGCCCTGCGATGGGCTGGCCCCCCATCCAGGGTTGTTCCCTGCCTCGTGCCCGTTGCCTCCGGGATAGGCTCCGGACCCCCTGCAACCCAGTAGGATAAGCGGGTTGGACAATGGATGGATGTACTTCTTTTGATAGTCTAGCAGAGAGTCTGTAAAATATGCTTGTATTTCAAAACCACACATACAAGGACAACCTTGTGTCGTCTTTGCCTGTCATTATCAATAGCTTAATTTGCCTGCATCAGGTCCCTATTTGCTTGGGATACAGGAGAGGCCTGGCGGAACCCATTTTACATGAAAAGGCCTTTAAACCTAGAGGTTGCCTTGTTTACATACTGGTCATGCTATTTGCAAGTTGTGGATATGCTATTTAAATAACATTGCAGATACAGATTTGAATAAAGAAACACCTCTGTCTTCAGAGAAATAAAAAGTGTCATTCATGTATGTAAAGTCACCAGCCTCAGTATTACATTAATTAGACATTGCACAGGTTAAATGTACGTATCAAAATATCAAAATGCTGTAACAAAAGCCCATGAAGATGCACACAAACAGGGCATTTGTGCAACAGCACACTCGGGGGGCGGGAACCACATCTGTCATCTGATTGACATGATTTTCACCCCTCCCCCACTGGTCTGGCCTCACATTGAACTTTAATGATCCTGGCCCAAGCACACTTCCATCATCATCATGCAAATTTTTTGTGCTGAAGTAAGCATAGGAAGAAAAACGCTATCGCACAGTACAATGGATTTCAAGATCCATCCACCCATCCATCATCTGCCCCTTATCCGGGTCGGGTCGTGGGGGCAGCAGTCTAAGCAGGGAAACCCAGACTTCCCTCTCCCCGGCCACTTTGTCCAGTTCCTCTAGGAGAATTCCAAGGGGTTCCCAGGCCAGCCAGGAGACAGCATGTCCTGGGTCTTCCCTGGGGCCTCCTCTCAGTGGGACATGCCCAGAACACTTCACCAGGTAGGCGTCCAGGAGGCATCCTGACTAGATGCCCAAACTATCTCATCTGGCTCCCCTTTATGTGGAGGAGCACACATAGAGCGGCTCTACTCTGAGTCCCTCCCGAATGTCGACCTTCTCACCCTATTTCTAAGGGAGAGCCCAGCCACCTTGCGGAGGAAATAATGCCAATAATGTGGACCAAGCTCTGACACCGGTTGTACAGGGAACAAACAGCCCTTATTAAGGTAGCCCAGCACCCCATACTTCCGGAGCACTCCCCACAGGACTCCCTGAGGGACACGGTCGAATGCCTTCTCCAAGTCCACAAAGCATGTGTAGACTGGTTGGGCAAACTCCCACGCACCCTCCCGGACCCTGCTGAGAGTATAGAGCTGGTCCACTGTTCCACGGCCAGGGCAAAAGCCACACTGCTCCTCCTGAATTCGAGGTTCGACAATCCGATGGACCCTCCTCTCCAGCACCCCTGCATAGACCTTACTAGAGATGGTGAGGAGTGATCCCCCTATAGTTGGAACACACCCTCCGGTCCCCCTTCTTGAAGAGGGACCTATGCCCCAGAGATAGGTGAGCCCACCCCCAAGTCCCCAGACTCTGCTTCCTCATTGGAAGGCGTGCTGGTGGGATTGAGGAGGTCTTCGAAGTATTCCTTCCACCAACCCACAATGTCCCAAGCTGAGGTCAGTAGCGCCCCATCCCCACCATAAACAGTGTTGATGCTGCACCGCTTTCCTGCCCTGAGCCGCCGGATGGTGGACCAGAATCTCTTCGAAACCGTCCGGAAGTCGTTCTCCATGGCCTCGCCAAACTCCTTCCATACCCGAGTTTTTGCCTCAGCGACTGCCAAAGCCGCGTTCTGCTTAGCCTGCTGGTACTCATCAGCCATAATGGCCCGATAGGACTCCTTCTTCAGCTTGATG